AGGATGAACAAAGAATCCGCAGGCGTACAAAGGGTCCAGTCAGCGTTGAGACGGACAGATTATATAGATATGAAGATTATGATATTTCATGCAGGCAGTTGTTGCCATTCGTATCTGCGCAGTGCTTGCAATTAAAGCCTTGTGACTAGAATTCGCGTCCTGTCCGTCCTTTTTGCTAGCAGCCCCTGGCTGGTTCCAATATGGATCATGAGAAAATCTTAGAAACGTTTCGCGTTTTGGGTGTTACTTCGATAGACGCTGAGAAAAACTTTAACTGCGGTCAGTTTTTGAGTGGTTCACTCAAGTTCAGGTACGCTTTCTGGCTATACATCGACACCTAAATGTCAACGAATAGTTATAAATGGTTATTCAGCATTTTGTTTACGTTTATGCAAAATGATTACTTGCGGAATCGTCGTTAGATGTATTGAAATTTTCACTGGACGCATAGATGTAATCATTCGGTTTCAGCGTCGTCGCATTCCTACCCGTGGTTTCGAATTCTTGCGTTTCAGTGACCGTGCTGGTCAACGCAGTAGCGTTGAAGTTGATTTTGATTTCGTCGATGCCATCTAAAAGAGTTTTCAATTTATTTCAACGGTAGCTACCACTGCAGTTTCAAGGGTAGGACCTAGAATCTGAACTCAGCGTCGCTTACTGTAGTTTCAGAACAAGCCTTGATAAACGATCGACAACCAAGTAGTTAAGTGAGCAGATAAATCAAATAAATGTGAAGACAAGGAGTAATTGAGAGTTCTTTCTTTCATTTACTCGCTCATTCATTTTTTTCATTCATTCGCTAATTTATTCGTTCATTCAGTCATATATTGATTCATTGATTTGTTCATTCATTTTCAGAATATGTTACCTGCTTGTTTCTGGGGCAGCTGCATCGAGAAGCCTTTCGAGTAAAACCCTCCCGCTGCCATTAACGGTCTGGATTACGTTAGTTAACGTTTATCAGACTAAATAATAAGAATAAACTAAGTAATTAAATAATCCTTCAGGTTTTGATTCTAGGCCAAAAGTTACATAGGTAAGTGTTTGAACGATTCATGGTTCAAGACACCAAGTACAGCAGATGGTGCAAGCTTTTTGCTGACGCGTTTCGCTACGTGAACTTACCATCATAAGGGTTAGGCTAAGTACAAAAGTATTTATGTCATGGGAAGCGCGCTTTTCTTTTCGACTATGTTTACAAATAGTTCTGACTAGTTGTGTGGTCGCGCCGCTACTCTTCACTGCTTTTTCACATGCCCCTCGTTTTGCTACGCTCTGTGTGGTTTTTCAGATATAGAAATTTATGAAAGAAGGTAATGAAGACTTACCGTCTATGCTGTTTTCAGACCTAGGTAAAGCACGGGAACGAAATTCACTGATCTGAAAAACAAAAATCGCAAATTACAACGGAAAATGGTTTAGACAAGCACTGGCGGAAATAACCACATTTGAGTACTTAACAAATCGTGATTCATCAGCATTGACGAAGTGAGCGTTACTGTAACAGTATGATTTGTCCCCAAAATTGTTTCCTTTTCAGATATTACACTTGTACTCATAGTTTTAGTTTATGCCAGAGTTACATATGTTATCACCACGTTATGTTGAACTTCCAGTCCATGTACTCTAGGGCATGGAGACAGATGATTAGGTAAATTTCTGATCACTAATCAACCAAGGCAATGAAAGTAACCGAAGTATCGTTGCGGTAAATCGTTGTCAACAGTAATTTTTTTGTAACCGCTTGTAAACAGTAACATTCAAACTGTTATAAAAAAAGAAATGGATTTATTGCCTGCTTAAATAATAGTTAATGATATCAGCTTCCCGGTAACAGTTGAAAAAGACGCTATAAAATTCGCTATTTACCAACGCATTTTGACGCCGTATATCAGTGTAATCAACGGGATAATCTTGGGTTTGCATTTCAACGCGCGGTAGACTAACTATATGGAAAATACTGTTTGCAAACTTATGTTATTGTTGTAAAAACAATGATATTTTAATTTACGCTGTAAGACCGTTGCAATGTTGTCGTGGATATCTAAAATAGCCTTGCTCGCATTATCAACTGGATTTTCGATTTCTGTTCTTCTGGTGAGACGACGTGCTTGCCGGATCCCTTAAGACTAATCGTATCGAAACTTTTACGTTTTACTATTTTGAACTCAAAAAACGCTGTGGCATTTTTGTAAGGACGATCGTCGAAGCTGCAGCGATCACATCTGAAAACAATGGCAAAAGTGTTTGGCGCAAGACCCAAAAATTCACACTGAAGTTTTGCGTTATGTTAGTGATCTGCGAGGAGTTCGAAGGTTTCACGAGAAATTTTGATGAGAAATGTCACCAAAGCTGCAATGTGCACTGAACGGAAAAATTAACAGCTATCACAAAATCTGGCATACTTAAAAATCATTCATGTATATGGATTGCCTAGAAAATTCAACCATACTTAAGACGATGGAATCGTGGGTTGTCTACGAGACTGGGCAGAGACACTGCAATTAAATTGTGCAGAAATGAGGTGTCCAACGAAGTACATTTGATCTTCTGCGTAAATATAGCGATGTCTTTCGTGTGCCATAATTGTTATGCGTACGAATTGCGCTTGATGGCGGGAACAGATCAAGTGGTAGGAAAACTTGCAGGAAACCCGGTTCTGTTTCTTCGATAGCGATTGTTTACGCCTTTGATCCGCTTAGTTAAACTGCGAGAATAATTATCAACAAACCCGGCTTTATCCAAGGAAACAAGCAACCGCTGTTGATACTCTGTTAGAAGTATTACTTACAACCCGTCTCCTCACGGTATAGCTCATAACATTATCAGAAAATATTGCAGTGATACAGTATACAGTTCGAGGAATCCGATCTTCAGGTTCTTTAACAGCAGTGAACTTCACCTGATACGGTAACAAGTCTATTAATAATATCCAATTTTTGTCTATAAGAGACATTCGTTCAATCACGCAGTTGTTGGCTGTTTTATGAATGTAACATCACTTTAAACGATTCGTATCTGTCTAAAATTGAAACTGTAAGATTTTGAAAACTAGTTATATGTAGATATATTTACACAAGAAAAGTTTGTTTTGATTGATCAGGCTTTGGCTGGAGTTTTCAATCTTGATCAGCTAAGCAAACGAAACATGATCCCATCAAAGCAGAAATTTTTATTGATATTTGAAGTAAACTTTTTCCACTGTTGTTCATGTTCTCTCCCCAGGATGTTGCGTTTCTTTGGATTGTTACATTAGCCTATCTGAATGAATATTTTTTCGACATGTTAAAGGAACGATTTCAAGTCATCTAACAGTGAAACTGAGTTATTGCAGCCCGGTTACAATCGGGGCGCGCTAAAACATGGAACAACGAATAAACTCCCACCTTATTCATTCTTCTTTCAATCCTTTTTAAGTACACGAATAAACTCGATTTTGATATTTACTGCATATCCTAACTATCTTCTGGTGGAAGGATGTTTACTAAATAACGCAAGTGACTCTTTGTAAATCTTATTGTCTATATGATCAAGTGAAGGTGCTGCAAATTTTACATAGATAAAACTTTTAATAACGGGTTTCCCTACGAAAGAATGTCCCTGTTTGCATGGAGCATTCGACAATCGTAGAACACACATTAAAATATACAGATAAATTCAACAAGAATGATGCTTCAATTTTAGATAGCGGTGTGAACCGTACAAATCTTTTGGTTAAAGAATTCACTCTTATACTTGCAGACAAGGGCATCATATGCAATAAATATTCTTCCTCTTCCTGAGCTGCAACTGACAGAATTGTTCGGTAATCAAGACGAAGTTGTCTTCCATCATTGAGCCTGAACGTCATTTCGAATGCAATATTACATTTAATTTATCTGATGATGCTGCATGTTGCACCGCAACGAAACGCTCCAGAAATAAATCTTTTGACATTGTGTTATATTTCGAACCATGGATCGGAAAGCATGGGTTAAAAAACCTGAGCTTCATGTCGAGAAACACTATCTCAACTTAGAGCACATGTAACAAAATTCAGCAGAAACTAATGTATTAATATATGATTCTGGAAGAAGTTAAGTATCCCCCCCCCAATATAATTCATGAAGAACTAGTGGGGCATCAATAACAAAAAATTTCTTAATTTCTTTTCACTGGACTCTCCCATTCTAGGATTCTTGCCTAAGATGACGGCGAAGACCTACAGGTACTCGATAGCACATTTAAGCGTCCTACGCATCTCAAAGATCATTCTCACTTTCTCAGTGACAAAACATCGTATTCGGCCGGGATTAGCGAATAATTGCATCAGCTGTATGAACACCACGCGGAATTTAGCAATGCAGGTAACCATCGGAGAGGTGAAGTCCGTTACAGCGCTTCCCTATCAAATCTCCGATCTTGATGAATCTGTCCCAAAGATCGCTCTATAGTCGTTTCAACGAGGTACTAAAAATTTCGCTGCTGAAATCGAGGAAGGAGATTTTAAGTACTTGACGAGGTTAACAGAGTACACTCGCCATTGATATCATAGATAATACAGTAGTAAACTATGAAGCAATACGTTTCATAACTGCTGATAAACTATGAATGTATCCAGGACGCCTTATTTTCCATTTATTGCAGATTCGACCTCGTTAACCGCACAAGAACAGGACATGGCATATGCGCAAATGGAAAATGGGAACTGCGAGAGGCTTTCAAACGAGGGTGGAGCGGATAGTTAGACTCATTTATCAAGCCTTCGAACGACGCACATAATTATAACCATCAGATAGTGTCTTCATAAGAAATGATTAGCTACCCGTCTTCAGTCAGTTTGCGCACGAAGTTCTTGAAAACAGCTTCAGGGCATGCGGAAGGACTCGCAGTCGATCTAAAGCTAATTTTGTTTGTATAATGATGTACTGCAGGTCATTTGTGCTGTTTCTCAGCAAGACGTGCAAATACTCACAAGATTAATAAGATCAGGCTGAAAATTGCCTATTAATTTGGCATAAGTAGTGAAAATGCTTGTTGCTAATATTTTGATGTCAAAATACTATGATCCTATGCAATAGCATACGAGAAGTAGCAGCTCATGAGACACCATAATGTGCTGCGAGATGGCTCAAGTAAACATAACGAAGCGAAATGCTTCTGGTGCTGCCGATGCTCAAATTCCATACAGCAATGGCCTGCAGAAATGGCTTTCCCGTTATGTAATTAGAAACAAGGGTCGGTGAAATACGCCGTGAACTTTGGTTTGGAGGAGCTAGGTACTAAATGTGTTTGTTGTGTGCTTATTGTGTGCGCTGGATCTTTTATTATGTTCTTTATCTGTGTAGTTATCATTTATGATTTGTGATGAGACAGTTTTGTGCCAATAACCGCGTAGCTGACTGTATCGTAGCTGCGAGAAACACCGTTATATAGGCTCTGTGAAAAAAGAGGCTTTGAATTGAGTCACTGAAACAACTGTCAGCAGAAAGCCGCAAGTTTTAATCTTCGTAAGCATCACCAATATGATTTATACATGACATAATTAAAGACTCATCCAAGACCAGATTTTCTGTACCATGGTATGATACAAGTAATACTTTAGCTTGAGAAGTTTAAATTTGCATTTAGAAGTAAAATAGTAACCAGTATTATAAAACAATATATGAACAATAATTTAGTTTCTCTTTGACCTGTGCAAAGGACAAAAAGAGGTCCTTTACGCTCACTCTCTTGTGAAGAAATTGCCTTTGCATAAGAAGATGCCTGGTGTAGACAGAAAATTTACTCCGTTACAACTTTGTGAGGAGAAGCACGCGACAGATTTGATGGATGAAGTAATCTCTGGATGACTAAGTACATTGTCCTTACGTCCAATGGGGTGAGCCTAAAAATCCTGGCCTTTTGAGAAAGGAATGTTTTCTGTGTCAATTCAAGACCAACTGGTGTTGATGAATAGATAACAAAAAAAGCACATCCTTAGGGAAACACCTTGAAAAAATGTAAGATTTGCGTTGGCAGTATAGTGGAATCAATATAACGCATTGCCGCTGATTGTCATGTTTTGTCAAACACAGATTATGTCAGCGGAAGCCCTGCCATGGCACTGATACCGGAAAGTAGTGGATGTCAAATTTGTTATTTGGATTGTCCGATAATGATAGATAATGCTTTCAATCGCAATCAGCCGGAGAGACTAATCTCGGATCACAAAATCAAACAACCAATTTTCCGCTCCTCTTGATAAAGATATACAAAAAATATAAGAAGAGGCTGAATATCGACTCAAGACATGTAAATAACCAAATAATATGATCGTACGGTGGTCATCTCTGCAAATGTCTAATCTCAAAATCAATCAATGACAACTCAGATCACCTGAAACTCCCAAAAACAACTCAAAACATCAGCAAGCTCTCGATTTATACAAAACTAAAAGAGTCCAAAAGATTGTGACTGTTTTGTTGAGTTTATTGTAAGTCTTTGTTGACATCATCAGCAGAGCATCTCTAGTTTGCGATGTCAGCTGCATCTGCGGCTTTCGAACACTTTTGCTATAAATCACTAGATCCCTTTTGAAAGCAGATCGGCCTCTTCCTTGTTCCTTCCGCCATGTTACATGCTGGTCACCTCGCCGACGTCTATCGTATTTCTGTTCCCACGCAAGAAGTTGATTGGCTGGAATAAATGGTCCTTGCTCAACCAGTTTGGGAAACAGGGCCACCAGTTTCTTAATCGTCATATTTACTGAGGTCACCTATGCAACGAAAAGAATAATCTTTATTTGCGTGATTCTGCCATTTAATCGGGATCATGCATCGAAGCCAACGTTTCTTACGTACTTCAATCAAGTTCTTTGTCCCTCGTTAAAGCAACTACCTCAGTGCCATACTGATTTAACCAAGCCAAAACAACGCCTGATTTTGTGAAAGAAAAGTTATTCATTCTTAGCCCAAATATGGAGCAGGTTACGTAAAGCACTGGAGGAAAAGGCAATTTTCGTATTTAGAGCTGATTGGATGTTGCAGTCTGTGGAGATAACGGAGTTTACGTGCTTAAATTGGTGAAACTTCTGACCGATGCTCTCCGTGTTTCACTTGTTGATCAGGATAGACAGTGGGTTTCATACCTGTATCGGGTGAGGAAGCAATTTTCTAGCGGAATCTGTTCCTCGTACTTTTCCTTACAATAAAATCATCTGATATCATCCAGATCAGCAAGATGTTTGTCTGAATATGTTGTACAGCACCTTCCCCCTAGAATAAGACCATCGTGCGTGACACTGTGAGCACGGTTTCAGAGGGAAAGCCGAGAGCAATTCTGAAAGGCGCAAGCACATGTCCTTGGTGAGCTCCACAGTTAGCAGAGAACCAATCACATTGTACTCCTTCGACCTCAGCAACACACCTGGCTCCTGCACGCATCTCTTCCAAAACGGAAGTGACAAATTCATATATCCCAGATCATTCTAAGAATCTTAATATCGTTGAAAACTGAACGGAATCAAATGCAGCCTTAGAGTTGAAAAGACCGATCACCGACCAATCAGGGCAACTGGAATCACGAAAGTTTATAAGCATCATCACTGAACTTGCAGCGAATCATTGGGATTTGGTTGATATCAAAGCTATGCATTGGCCAGTGATCGTTTACATAGGACAACGTTTAAAAAAGTGAATGATATTAATCAGTTAACATTCAATATATAAATTAAAAACTAAACTGAAAAATTTTAAAATGTTTTTGAACTACTGGCGAACCTTATTGCTTTCAGTTATAACCTGGCATATAGTGCAAAGTGATGATGCCATGCCCATCTACGTGAATTTTTAAAATTAACGAAAATAACCACTTACTAGAAAAAATGCCACGACGACTTCATGAAGCATGTCCAGGGAATCTGAAAGCAGGTACCAGTTAGATACTTAGAAAGAAAGTGGCAGCTGATCGACCAGCTGACCACGGAAGAAGTGTGGCTTC